ACCATGCCCGGCTAATTTTTTCTATATATTTTTAGTTGTCCAGTTAATTTCTTTCTATTTTTAGTAGAGACGGGGTTTCGCTCTTGCTCAGGCTGGTCTCGAACTCCTGAGCTTAAACAGTCCGCCGGCCTCGGCCTCCCAGAGAGCTAGGATTACAGACGTGAGCCACCGCGCTCGGCCATTTATATGGCTTTTATTCTGTGGACAGCAAGTAATTTTTTTTCATGATTTTTTCCATGATTCAGTTAGAAAAAAACACCTTACAAATCAAATCCAGTGGACAGGAATTATTAGATGTGTAGAAATAAGGTTGTTTTAAAATGTTTATTATGCATGTTTCAAGCCACTCATGGTTAAGGTATGTAAGAAAACAAAGATTCTTCAGCTTCAATAATAACTTCTGAAATACCAATAATGAGTATGTACACTTTAGTTTAACAGTATTCCTGATGGCTTTGGATTTTATTTATGATTGCACATGAGGAGTTATTCGTATAATACTTACAGAAGTCATAGATCTTAGTGTAAACTCGGATCTGAGAACTTTTCTAGAATAACTTGGCATGCCATCTAGTTAGTAGGTGAATAATCATAAATAAATTCTGTTTTGTTGGTAAATTATTCCACAGTTTCATTGTTGCTAAATTGCCACTTTCTCCATCTCTTTAGCGCATTAAAGAGGAAAAACAAGAATCCGAATTTCTACCATCAGCTGGAGGGACATTTAATATTTCCATCAGTGGGGGTAAGTACTTGTTGGTTTTGATTTTTTTTTTTTTAGAGCTCTGTTTTTTGGTTGGTTTTGGTTTCTAACTTTTTTTTTAACCATTTGAAAACAAATAATCCCTGAGTTTAAGTTAGAAATGTTTTGTCAGAGGTAGTAGAAGGTTGAGAAGTAACTCAGTTTTCATTTGGTACAGTGTATGTAATTAGTGCCTTCGGAAGGATGCTGTGTTCAGACACCCAACTGATCTTTAATAATGCAGTCTAAACAGTCTGGAAAATGTGTTATTTTACATGTATCTCCATATGTTTCTATAGATCTCTTCCATAAATACCAACAGCTTGTGTTAGAAATTAATCTACCAGTCATCAGAAATTAGTATTATGTTCTCCAATTGTGTGTGTATACAAATTGATATGTGTAGTATTTTGTTGTTTTTGATAACAAAAAACTCTGTTTAACTTGGATGTATTATTGCTTGTTGCAGATATTGATGGCTTAATTACTCAGGCTTTGCTGACGGGTAATTTTGAGAGTGCCGTTGACCTTTGTTTACATGATAACCGCATGGCTGATGCCATTATATTGGCCATAGCAGGTGGACAAGAACTCTTGGCTCAGACCCAGAAAAAATACTTTGCAAAATCCCAAAGCAAAATTACCAGGGTATGTTATTTTAAAAATAAATAAACAACAACAGTTATCTTTCTCAATATAAAAGCAGTACACTCTTGTTATAGATAATTGAAATGCAGAAAATAGAAAAGAATTTAAAAAGCCATCCATAATTCCTTGACCTGTAAATAGTTGTTTGCAGTTTGGCATGATTATTCCAGTTTTTGTTGTTTCCATATGTAATTTTAACAATTAAAAATATTTTCATGTTAGAAAAGTTTAACAGAAAATTTTAAAGGGAAAAATTTTAGCACTCCCTAATTCTACCAATAGATTAATTCATATCTTTACCTCTTTCTGTATATTTGTAGAATTTTTTAATTAACAGAATCAGGATCACATATGTATATATATGTGTGTATGTGGTTTCATTTATAAGTATTGTCACTTATATTGTAAGCATTTTCCCACATCATTAAAGATTGTTATAAAAATGTCTAATTATAATATTTTATGGTAAGGTTATTTCCACTATTTTGGGATGTTTAGGTAGATTCTGTATTTTGCTAATATACGTAAACACCCTTGTGTACGATGATAAACACCTTTGTTGTACCTAAAGATTTGTACAAATTTCTGATTATTTAATTGGACTGTAGTCCTTGGAGAAGAATTTCTGGAATATGGGATCTAAACATTTTTAAGCCTCCTGCTTGATGTTATTTTCCACATGATAAAGAAGTAATTATTGTGGAAATTACTTTTCACAGAAGGTGTGCCAGTGCCGAGTCCCACCAGCATCGACTGCCCTCAGTCTCCGCAGCCTCGCCTCATGTCACTCTCCCTGGTTATCTTTTAGCCAGGCTGGCTGCCGCTCAGTTCCTCACTCACTCCACGTGCCTTTCTCCCTGGGACTTTGCACCTACCCCTTGACCTGGAATGCTTTTTCCTTCTCAGTGAAGTTAATTGCTGTTTGTCCTCTAGATCACATCCCAAAAGTCTGCGTGTACAGGCGGTTTTTCCTGATCCGTCAGACCAGATCATGTCTTCCATTAAATGTTCTGTCAGCACCCTATACTTTTCCTCCTCAGCACTTGATGAAATATGTTGGTGATTTTTTTTGTTTGAGAAAAAATAATACCGTTTATTATGTCATTTGGTTCAAAAATATACTTCGTTTTGCTGTGGCTTTATTTGACATGAAATACTGTGAATAGTAGTTTTCAAAAATGTGTTTGATTATCCAGAATTAATCTTTATTAATATACTAAAGACTTAATTCTCCCTTTGTTTTCCTTTCCTAAGCTTATCACTGCAGTGGTGATGAAGAACTGGAAAGAGATCGTTGAGTCTTGTGATCTTAAAAATTGGAGAGAGGCTTTAGCTGCAGTATTGACTTATGCTAAACCAGATGAATTTTCAGCCCTTTGTGGTAAGAAATGAGCTTTATATTTAACTACATTACATATATGACATGGCATATTATAAATAAAATTAATGGCAAATTTTATTAGAACTTTTTATAAACATACGAAAAAGAAGTTCTTATTTGGATGCTTTTCTTAGAATTATTAAATACATTTCTTCAGCCCGCTCACACCTCTAATCCTAGGGCTTTGGGAGGCCAAGGTGGGAGGATTGCTTAAGGTAAGGAGTTTGAGATGAGCCTTAGCAAGAGCGTGACCCCATCTCTACAAAAAACAGAAAAATTAGCCAGGCATTGTGGTGCGCACCTGTAGTCCCAGCTACTCAGGAGGTGGAGGCAAGAGAATTGCTTGAGCCTAGAAATTTGAGGTTGCAGTGAGCTGTGATGACACTATGCTCTAGCCCAGGTGACAGAGTGAGACCTTGTCTCAAAAAAACAAAAACCAAAAAACAAACAAATAAAAAACCATTTCTTCTCCATACCTACTCATTTTTAATAAAAATACTGTTTAGTGATTTTGGTTTCAGACAGACCAGAGTTGGAATCTCGCTTCTTCCACTTACTAGCTGTATGATCTAGGAACAATTACTTTCTAAGACTCAGTTTATTCATCTGTAAAATGACACATAAGTAACTCTCACTTAATGAATGTTAGCTATGATAAAATTAATAATTATAACATTTGAGTAGAAATTACTATTATAAGCCATGGCTAAACTGGTGGCTAAGGAATAAATAACTATTTGCAAGAAAAGAAGTTTAGGGCTGCTGGTGTAAGAGCAGACAACCATTTGCTACCTTGAAAGTATCGTGAGAATATAAAAATTATAAGGTATTAACTGTGTTTTCATAAGTAATTTACAGTAGACTTAGCTATGATTGATAAATCTATTCCAAATGCGTCTTTAGGGTTTTTCTGTTCAAATATTGTTTTTTCTAATATAATTAATGGAAATCAGTTCAATAGCTACATATAGAATCTTATGAAATCATTTATTACATACAATGTGTCACCCACTTGCATTCATTTAACAAATACTTACTGAGACTTTAAAGTGATTTTGTTTCTCCCTGCTACTCATTGGTTATGAAGTTTAATCTATACCTCTGAAAGTATTATTGAGGTG